ATACATCAGTAAATGTAATTTGTAAATCCGATTCTTCATAAGAGTACATCGTGTTCTTTCCCCAAATATTTTTGAAGGTATTTTTAATAATTCTGTAAAACAAATATGAAAGGGAAATGTGATTAACAAACATTTGGTAAAAATACAACAAAACATGTACTTAAACGTAGTTTTATACAACTTGCTACTGTTGTGACAGCACAGTTTTGGGAAGATCGAGATATTAAAACGCGGCAATATGATATACTTGAAACGATATTTAAATTAAAAAATCAAATTTTGTAGAAACATTGGTATTCTAGTTTGTATGTATTATGCTTATAAGATATAAAAAATTCTGCGGCTCTCAGAATAACGATTTTAATAAGACCCTTTGTAATGTTTTGGTAGTTGTCGTACGCTTATTATTTTATGACAACTACAGAAACAGTATAAAGTACACGTACATAATAGACAGATATAAATTATGAAATACTTTTCTGTATTCACATTAAAATATGTGGAAGAATAACGTTCTCATTTCGCAGTGCGATGGTATCGAGTCACGTATAACATGGTATCTATGATATGGCTTTCAAACATCTTAGCGGACACTGCGCGCTTGACATTAGGTCGCTAAAAGATTAAAAGGTCCAATAATAGTACTGTAATAAGCCCTGATTTCTATGCAACATAAATCATATATAATTACAATAAAATAAAATTTTGGTCAACCGCATTGTTTGATTTCATTGGAAATAATTAGACAAAGAACTGAGACGCAATAGTTCGTTTTGTAACATCCATTTTCCGGCATCTTGGCACCCAATCATTTTTAAACATAATTTAGTTTAATAGATCACTTGTTTCAAATTTATACAACGGAAAGATGGTTTATAACATGTGATAACTGTATAAAATCGTTAGTTTAAATGAATAATGTCTGTTGATGAGTACATCTTGTAGTAACAAGAGGTAGAAGAAAGAATAAGTCGCCCGATAAAGTTTAGTTTGACTATTAGAGTTAAATCTTTTGTAACTTATTGTAGAACTTCTAAATAAATCACATCCTTTTTAGTATTATAAAGTATAAATTTTATATAACATTTAATAAACTAAGATACTAAATCAATTATTTCTGAAGAAAATCAAGGGCGCTATTTAATTTTCATGACTTACGTAAGCGGATAAATAATTATCACCACTTACCCCAAATTTAAAATATCTTATAAGAAACATCAATGTCACCAAACAAAACTTAAATTTATAAACATTTAAAAGCCTTTAATTTCAGCATAGAAAATAGATTTAAATTTACATCCATAAAATAGTCTCGTTGATATTAATAGAAATTAAAAAAATAAACTCTTTTTGAGAGATCGTACGTTTTTAAAAACTCTTTGTGATGTCACGTTAATTATTGCCACTGGTATTCTTAAAAGTAAAGAATTCTGTAGTAAAATAATTACTATTAAGTTGTGAATACGCTTGCCATAAAATTTATTCTAAAGCCATTTGTACCAGCATGAAATTTAAATGCGTATGTTGGAGCATATACAAAAAAATTGCAATTAAAAAAGTTCTGAATGTCTTTTAAACAATGGTTATAAGAAATAAACAAAACTATTTGGACTTTATCGCTTCGCAACAAGTTTTAATTCGTAAATCACTGAAGCATTAATATCGGCCGGTACAAAACTTGATTGAAACAGTTTGAATGACGATACATAATCATACTTATTGCTATTTTTACTATATAAAATACAAAATGAGACACATACAATCCATGTGAATGTCGAATGGTCCTTGCGTGTGGAGGAGGGTACAGGGGGGGTTATATCATGTGTCTGTTGGCGCCGCGTACTTTGCGCTCCCAGGCCTCCGCCTCCGCCCACGAGTGCCGCACGTCCCGGAACAACTGTAATTTATAATGTTCTATTTAATCTTACTAATATTATAAATGAGAAAGTTTAAATGGATGGATGTTTGTTTGAGTTTGTAGCCTAGACTGCTTAACAGATTTCTATTAAATTTGGCATAGAAGTTGCGTCACTTTTGTTTTTATAATTCCACGCGGACGGAGTCGCGAGGGAACGTTAGTTACATCTATAATTTAAAAAAACATCTGAAAAACCAAAACGATCTGTAATTTGTTGTGAACTTTAAGTTAATATCCTAACACAATAAAATTAATTTAGCTTTGTTAAAATGGGTGTTGTGTGCAAGTGTTGAAATGTAACAAAAATATTTATGTGCCTAATTGAGATGATTTAATTTTTTTTTTCATTTTTAGGTAAACTACTGCAAGTCAAGCCTACTGGAATTTACTTCACGTATATAATAGTAGATTAATAAACGATGTACTACTACCATTAAATTGGTTTTATTTTTTTTTCTCAAAACCCTTTCAATAAATGCATTCATATTATTTAAGAGACATTGATATTGAATTATAATATGACTAATACATTTTTCACTAAATATAATAATCATTAGCGCTTAAAGAAAACAAACATCTGTTTTAGTTGTGTATTTGAAGAGTTCGCATTGTAACCTTTATTTATTAAAACACATATTTCCAGTGAGGAACTGTTAAGTCTGGATCTATTAAATCATATTATTTTTGAATTTTTACATCTGGGCGCAAAATTACATACAATCGTTTTAGTCTTCTTTAATACAAGATGTAAGGAAATGGTATTAGTAGGATTAAGTAATCCGTGTACCTGTGAGAGCCATATTTCGTCAGCGAGCAGCTCGTTGAGCACGAGCGTAGTGTCCTTGCCGGGGCTCTGCATGCGCTTGTCGGCCACGCGCTTGCTGCACTCCGCGTACATCAGGTACTTCTGGTGCGAGATGCGCGAGTACAGCTGCACGCGGCCGCAGCACGCGCCGC